TTCTACATAGTTGAAAAATGGAGACCTACCCTGAAAAAAGTTCACGAAAAGTTGAAGAAAACGTTAGATTTTCAGGGATGCATCTCCACATTAAAGAAAATTATTTTGAAACTGGGGTTCCGCTGGAAGAAAACAAAAAATAATTGGATATTGCCGGTGTTGCCCCTTTAGAATAGACCTGTGTAATATGTAAATAAACTCTTCATGTATATAATAGTGTATAGTGCATAACAGTCTGCCATTCGGCACTTAAAACTTAACATAAGTGAGAATAAACCACCATCACTATGCAACACAATGAGGTAAGAAGTTATTTCCTTTTGAGAACGCCTGTACTGCATTCCCCTCCACACTTGTCAGCATGCTGCAGCTCTCCCCACTACTACAAATACTTCTCCTACTCCACGTCGTAGGACTGTCAGCTGTAAATATCACAACTTTACCTGCCCTGGGTGATTATGATGATGGAGAATTTGGTGGAATGAGGATTGGCAGGGGAAACCGAAGTACTCAGAGAAAACCCGCCCCAACGCCACTTTGTCCACCACAAATCACACTTGACCAGACCCAGGATCAAACCCAGGCTGTCGCGGTGGGAAGCCAGTGACTAACCGCTTGAGCTATGGCGCGGCCTTAGCAGTCGGGTAACAAAACAGTGCTAAGTGGAACTTCTTTGCATCACTGGATATGTATATGTCCACAGGTGGACACAGCTGTTCTATGGAACAATGGATGAAGTGGTGGGAGCTTCAGAAGTGGAATCTATCACTTCCCTGGATTCCAGTATTCACATTGATAAGGGCTACTGCTCTTGGCTGACAGCCATATTTAAAATAAAGTGAGTTATAATTTGTTAATTTGCTCAGTAAACTTAAACTTTCGTATATACACTTTTTCAGTTAAGACTAACACTTATTTACTAAAAATTCTGATAACCCTTGACTCTCATAATGTAACAGTACAGTGAAACCTTATTTTACACTTTCGAAGGGACCTCCCTGCAAATTAACATTAAAGCATGGGAAGGATGGATTAAGGGAAATGAGAATGGTGTAACATGTCATAACTTTGGAAAATCATTTTAAAAATTATGTGTTTGAACATAAAAATTTAAATTCATCTGTACTGAGCTACATGCCATGTTATTTCTATAACCAGTCAAAGAGAGAGTCATTTATGTCTTTTTACCTTGTGCTCTGTATATTCCTCTAATGTGAGGTTCAAGAAATTTCATATGCAAAGATATGGGACTGGTTTACTAGGGATAACCTTGAACATGAGCAAAATGGCATTAATGTTTCTTTGAATTTTCAGAAGTATGAAGATTAATTCTAAAGTCAGCTAAATTTTCATTTTGAATGCCTGAAAAATGAAGTATCAAATTCCAGAAAATCATTGAGCTTAAGTAAACATAAAATTGGTAAAAATTTGACGTTGATCCCGTCCATGATGTGCATGTATTGACCGTCTTCTACTGCACACAGTCTCACTTGTCACTTCACTACATGTTTCGGCATCACTGTGCCATACTCGGGTGTGTCATTTACGTTAAACTATTGTACTGCTCGCCATCATGTGTCATGCCAAAACATGTAGTGAAGTGACAAGTGAGATTGTGTGCACTAGAAGACGGTCAGTACATACACATCATGGACGTGAATCAGTGCAACAGGACACTAAAATACAACATTAACATTGTTCTTATAAATATTTTGCTGGAATGAAATAAAAACAATGTAAAATCAGGAAAATCAAAATCTGGGATTTCAGACTTGAAGTTTCACTGTACATAATAAACTTAATAGGACTCTCCTTCTTGTAACATAGTGAAATTTATTTTCATTAGAAATTTAAATGACCAAAAAATTTCTTGGTTGGTAATGCCATATACAAGGAAGAGTCAGTAAATAGTTCACAAATGGAAGTAAAACAGCTGCAGTGGTTGTAATAGGTTTCCTGTATCACTAGGTAACAGCACAGTCCAGCTTCATGACAGTCTAGGTAACAGATGCACATGTTCAGAAGCTGGTTTCAGTAGTTAAAATGATGACTGTGCTTGAGGAGTCTACTACTGAAGAACGTATTTCTGTTGTGCATTTTTTGTGTCAGAATGACTCGATGCAAAGGATATTTGTAAAGAAACGTTTCCTGTTTATGGTGGGAAGTGTTTGTTGCGTGAAGCAGTTCACAACTGGGTTGAGAAATTCTCTCAAGTATGTTCAAAGTCACGGATGATGCCTGACCAGATCACCCTGTTGAGGTTGCAACAGAAGCAACTTTGCAGTGGGTGGAGGAGCTGATTCAAACTGACAGGAGTATAACAATAGACAATGTAGCAGCTGCACTAGGGGGTTTCCATGGTTTAGCGCACAGCATAATGCCTGATCGTTTGAAGTTTCAGAAAGTGTTCGCATAGTGGATGCTCAGAGAATGAAGGATCAAGAAACTGAATGGGTCTGGCCTTGCAACATATCTTATGATATGCAGTTGAAGGAGAAGATATGTTTAACAGGATTGTTACTGGGGATGAAACATTGGTGTATCACTACCAACCCAAATCAAAAGAGTGCTTCCATACAGTGGAACAACCCAGTTCACCTCGTTCAACCAAAAATTTTAAGGTTATGCCATCAGCTGGGAAGGTTATACTTATCATGTTTTGGGATACTCAGGGAGTACTGTGTGGTGAATATGTGAATTCTGCATCATACTGGAAAGGTCTGTTGAAATTTCAGGATTCAATTCACAGAAAACATCCATGCCAAGTGATAACATAGGTACTGCTTCATCATGACAGTGCTAGACTCCGTACAGCCCAAGCAACCCAGAAGATAATTCAAGAACTACAGTGGGAACTTCTTGAACATCCATTTTAGAGCCCACGCTTGGCCCCAAATGACTTCCATCTGTTTGGTCCTCTAAAAATAACATTGGTGGAAAACATTTCACTGATGATGAAGTTGAAACGGAGGTGCAGGAGTGGCTGAGGCAACAGTCAAAAGACTTCTATGCCGTAGGTTTCAGCGCACTGGTAAAGTGATGGGACAAGTGTATCAATGTAGGTGGAGGATATGTCAAGAAATACGATGGGGTACCCAAAAGAAACCGAACTATTTTTTTTGTGGGCAGAGCTTTTGTAGTACCGCATTTTGCAGTTATGAGCGCATAGAGCTAACATTCCTGAGTTGATAAGCCGACTACCGTTGCTTCAGAAGGTAAGGACTAGTTTCGGCAGAGTTTATAGTGACAACTGTTTTGTGTGATCGTCATTTTTGCAATGGCTGATTTTCGTGAACAGCATGCGGCGTTGAAATTCTGCTTTTTGCTCGGGAAAAGTGGAACAGAAACTCTTGAAATGTTAAAAACGGCGTACAATGATGATGCTATGGGGAAAACTAAAGTGTTTGAGTGGTTTTCTCGTTTCAAAAATGGTGAAATGTCAGTTGATGACAAACCTCGTTCTGGTAGTCCTTCCACGGCCCAAACACATGAAAATGTTGAAAAAATTCGTGAAATCATCAAGGAAGATCGACGACGGACCATTGAAGAAATTGTGGAGCTGTCGGGAGTGACTTGGAGCTCAGTTCAGCGAATTTTGACAGAAGATTTG